TGTGTGTGTGTGTGTTCTGGATGGATGTGTGTGTGTGTTCTGGATGGATGTGTGTGTTCTGGATGGGTACGTGTTTAAAAGCCGGAAATTACAACTTTTTTGTGCCCTTTATGACAACTCATAGTCATTTGACTTTTGTTAGGATTCGTGTTTTCTTACATTTGTTCCCATTTTTTCAGACATTAAACAAGAAAGCAGTAATGGAACTCTATATAGAAATGCTGGATTCGATCATCAAAATTAATGAAATTTGGCCCCTGGTTAATCCGGATCTGCTGCCATTGGAAGAACTGCGCACGGACAAGGAGACTTGGAAGGCGCGGGCTGCCGAAGACGAGGCGATAGCGCTGGGTGCAGAACTAAAGCTCCCCATACTTCGACACCTCCGATGCAGCTTGTATTTGTCAATAACGCAACGCGTAAATACTTTGCATGGGCAGGTGAAGAGCGACATGTTACAAAAATTCCTCAGTCTTCTTGAACAGAAGATGAAAGCAAAGGAACGGCAAGAGAGCCATATTTCGGATATGAGGTACATGGACAGAAAAATGAGAAGACCGAAGGGTCGGAGCAAAAGATTTTTCCGCCGGGAATTTCATGCCGCTATGTGGAGCAAGTTATGTGCGATTTTCGACGACAAGATGGAAGAAGTGAAGTGGCAGTTTTGGCATTTGGTGAACGTAAAGTTGGTCTTCATGGACAGCAAAATGAGCGCGTTGGAAGCACAGTGTATAGCGCAGCATTTGCAAACTTTGCTGAGGCAGTCGGAGGCAGTATTGCAGGGACCGTCATTGAAGATTGTCGAAAATAAGATGGAAATTGCGCTGAAGCAAATACGCCGTGTAATGGATCTCCAGCTGGGATTAATAGGAACCAGAAAGAGAGTGGATCTGCGATCGCTGGACGACATACGACGAGCGAGAGCACTAGAAGCCATTGCGCGGAGGGGGGCTCAGTCCGATCAGTTCTCAAGTAGCGAGGAGGAAGAAGATGAAGATTGGTCTGGCCCCGGACCGAACAAGAGAGCGGCGGAAAAAGGAAAGCCTGCTCTGAAGAGATGTAGTGGAAAACACGAGCCACAGCTGGAGCTTTTGTTAGCCAGAATTGTTCTTGATGAGGATGAGGAAGAGGACGAGAGCGAGCGACTTCTCTGCGATCTATGCAAAAGAAGGCTTAAGTCGGCGCTTAAAAAGGCTTAAGCCCCTTGGCGTTTGGGGAAGCCGCCATCTTCAGTGTAAGTGAAGGCGTTGTTTGATAAAGTGAAGGCGTTTGATTTGGAGGCTTTGGAACTAGGGACCAGATAAAAATATTAAATATTCCTAGCGTTATCTTTCAGTGCATTTGGTTACAAAGAGGGGATGCATTAATATTCTAGACATTCTACTCGAAAATAGTTCAGATAGAATTATTTATTCGTGACCAAGACCTTTAATCAATTTGGGAGAATCAAAAAAGATAAATAACATTAAAATTATAGTTCAATATTACATATATAATGCAGAAACTTTTAACACGCGTATTTAACCAAAATGATATCTGAAGCTTCTTAAATATATCTGAAGGAAATTGTAGGAGACGTGTTACAGAATGCTTGGGTTACATTTTCTTCTAAAGAGGAGCTTCTTTAGGATTAATGTAATGAATTTTCAGATTATTACAGAAAGGAATTTAATTTAATATATATATATATATTTGGAAGTAATAAGATACATCACCATTCACAGAGTGCCTAGTAATTTACTTTCACTTAAACCTTCCCTTTGTACATCAAATATACTATGGTTTGCGGACAGAAGAGAAAATTTTGAGATAACATTGATTCCTAGTTTTCTTCCGTCGTAAGTTGCCAGATCAAAAGCACACGCATTTAGTGTACTATCAGCTCCTCACAGCAAGATTAATTCCACTACGTTTTTACAATCCAAGGTGCAAGCAACGAGCAATGCTGTCCAGCTCTTATATCCAAGTTTTGCAACAGTTTTGTTCAATTAAGCAACGCATAGAGTATGTTCTGAATCGCAATACGCCGTATTTGTATGTTGGTTAGTGGTATGCTAAAGATATTAAACCTATTTGATTATCCGAAATGTGTTAAGGGTCTTGGAGATGGAATTTTACAACATAATTTGCCATTATCTGTTTATTCCTTTAGAAATTTTCTACTATGTCAGCCTGTTTCGTCAAGGCAGTAGAAATGTGACTTGTAGGAAAAATTGAACAGAAAAAAAGATGTGGTAAATATTAGTCCCTGATGTTAGATTTTTTTTGTGTTTTAATTAATAATGTAATTTTGTTTCTAAATGTGTGTGTATCGTTAAGTGAATTGCAGTATTCCATTTTGGCGATTTGTGTGTGCAATGTATTGTACAGATTGTTGCTGTTAGATTATTTCAAATCTCCTGTGAGGAAATTTTACTAACAGGTTTCTGATTTTTAGATAATCAAATGTCTGTAATTTTAGTTCATTCTCTTGATATAAGAATTTGAACAATTGATGAACTATAATTAGTTACATTTTGGCGGTAATAATACTGCAAACAATTTTGTATTATATTTTCTCTAATCCTCTTTGTTTAAAGGGGATTAGAATCTTTGAGACTGTTACTATTATTACTACTGCTAATAATACTATTATGACAATTATTAATGTTTCATATTGTTATAATTATTTGGAAATAAACTCAGAACTACAATAGTTGTTTTATTCAATCAATTCCTACGTTCCTGTAGTAGACCGTAGTGAACATGAGAATACCAAAGATTTCTGTTGCAATTTGCGATTCAGTTAGATAACTCATTTGTAACTGCACGTAGAAATGTTAATAGCAGTTTCCAAACTGTTTTTCATTCAACGTATCACAATTAATTTGCTCATAAATCAAATAACAATCGATTATTTAGACCATATTTGCTCCTATAAATACAATATAATTTTCCACTGGATAATTTAATGTTTGGGATACTTTCCATGAAGCCTCTGAAATTTTATTATGCATTTGTTTTTAATCTCTCCTTATAGCGTTTGAAATCTAGTGGTGCTACTGTGCTAATGTCACATATTTACCCGTATTACTTTTGTTTCCTGCGATTTGGGCTAGCTATTCGAACTTGCCACATAGTCTTGCAAGCTGCTATCTATCGCCGCTCAAAGTACTTATTTTGAAATTTTCTTAATTTTTCGGTTTCTTAATAATATAACGGAAACATTATTTTAAGAATATTAAAGAACAGTAAAACAGCGTGCTATAAGGCATTTTTTTCCGAAAAATATGGAGCCGTTCCGCGCTACAGTATTCAAAATTTAAAGCACCTTTTCACAGAAATTTTTTGAGTTTTAGAAAAACATCATTTGAAGCAGACAAATACAATAGTGTTTACAGATTCCTGAAAATGCATATAACCTGCGTGAGAGATATTCCAAAATACATTCGTGTAATGTTTACAATAACCTAATATTCCGAAATAAATTCTTCGTCATAGAAAAGATTGCAATTAGCACTATCCATTAGAAAAGTATGAAGAAAAACGATTGAGTTTTCGAGAAGCTTTATGCCACTATTTTAAGTAAATGTACTAATAAATATGTGAACAAATTGTCGCTAATTAATAATGGAAAACAAGTAAAAAATACATTTTTGAAAAACAAAAGAATATAGCAATATGGCGTTTGTCATTTCATAGAGTGCAGTTAGCACAATCCTTACCAAAAGTTTAAAGAAAATTTTGGGCAGTTTTTGAGAAAATCTTGTTTTTGTAATTTTTTAAAATTACTTAATTTGCTTGCAATATTGCGCGAAAACTACATGTAAAAAAAACGTGACTGTAATGATAGACCAAATTATGAACAACAAATTTTATTTGAGGAAAAAATCTCTATCTTCAATTTTGTTTTTGTAGGTAAACCCCGAAAAAATATCAATTTCGAAATTTTTGAAAGTTTAGTTAACTGTGAAAATTGGACCTATGCACCATTTATAAGTGCATCCTTAAATTATCCTTATAAGAAATTTAAAGAAACCAATTGGAGCGATTTTTGAAAAAAACTGAATGTCCCAGAGGCTTCATGTAAAGCCCCCCCCACACACACACACACAAAAAAAACACAACATCTAATGAATGTTTTCAAAATCGCAGAGATTCGACTTGGGCCAAATGGGCAGAGGTTTTAACAATTTGGAAAAGAAACCTTCGCACGGTTCGGTACCAGACAGACAGGCGTTTTAAAGGAAAAAAAAACAACCTTTTTTGGTATCAGGGGGCCCCAAAATTTGTATTTCCTTTGCAATCTCGGAATCGGTTTTCCGCAGTATTACATAAATTTCCCTTTACTACGTATATTACTCTGTATATACTTAGTATACAGTAGAGTAAAAATGGTGAAATGTAGATGAGTCCTGTGGGAGGTGTGGACTGAGTATAGAAACGATTCAAAATGCTGTTTACCGTCAAATTACAGTTGATTTATCTACACCTGAGGGGGAGGTGGCTAGAAAATTTAAAAATTAAGATAAAATGGCTATAGGAGCGTAATAAAACTTAGTGCTACAAAACATGTTTGTGTAAACGAAAAGAACTACAGTTAAAATACAAGAAGATGTATTTGTTAGGTAGAAACAGATCGAGCAGAAGGCAAATTACTCAATAATAAATAATTCTTAAAGCCTAATTAGACGTGTTGCATAATGTATGGGTACTAGTATGTGAATCCAACATTCAAATCGCCCAAGTATGTTAGTCTAAACTAATAAAAACCTTGTCAATCCTCCCTGGTGTCTTCTAAACGATGATTTTAAAATACCAACAGATGATGAATTAAAAGATATAGATGTAACTATGTTTAAAAATATTATCAATCCATGCGAAATTAGCCATAAATTTGTTAGATAATAGTTTACAAATTAAACCTCTTAAAAATTGAAGTCTGGGTTTCCCTGGAAGATTCTGAAGTGCTACTGATGTTGATTTCTTCGGAGCAGAGTAAAGTGATATTGCCACTTCTCGGGCGGCAGTTACATTGTTCTCGCATCAGTTAACAACAACCACCACCACCACCACAACAGCAATAGCAAGAAAGAAGCACACAACAGTAGGCGATACACGCAAAACGCGTAACCAAAGAAGTAATGACAATTCAATTTCTTCTCGCTGTTATATTTTTTTTCTTAATAAGTATGGTCATCTCTGCAGTGGCATCAGCATTTGAAGTCCCTGATTGGATACCGGAACCCCCCTCTCCCCTATTGGCAGCTAGCTGTCAAATCGTCAGAAATATTATTCTGATAATAGTAGTTATACTTTTTGTTAACTTTCGTATTTTTTTCAGAACATTAATTTTTAATAATATACTTCTCGTGTGATATTTTTAATACACTATTCTGAAATTAAAATTTAAAAAAAAATTGCTGTTATGTATGAAAATGCAACTCAGAATCATTCTACTTAGCACAGAGACCCGAAATTCGTAAAGTGATCCTGGGCATTCGTGGGAGTGTAAGATGATTTTATAAATTCTGATAGCTGCTCCAGATAGGTGCCATAGGATATGTGGACCCCTCCTAGAGTGTATAAGATTAAATTATATTTTTAATCATAAGTATGCTTCAAAATTTCCTACTACTTTAGATTTTATTTAAAAATTTTACCAATTAGATTCAAAACATATTAGTATTTTGAAATTGGTTCAAAGGTTTAATTCTATTTCTAGAAGAAAACGGACTAAAATAAAAAATAAACCAATACAAGAATACAATTTACATGTTTTTTTTTTTTAATCTAACAAAAATATAATGCTCTCCAAGAACATAACAACTAGTACCACGTCTACACAGGTGAGTTTAAAGTGATGGAATTTCAAGCTGTGCTATATTACTGTCATCAATTAATAAAATTGAGTCTCACCGCCTCCCGAATAACTTATCCATACTTCTCCTGTGAAGTGTGGGCAGTCCTTCAAGCCATTATACTCAGTGTTAAGACTCCAAAAGATTTTCCCATTGCAATTTTTCAGACTCGCTATCAACTCTGAGAGCCATTGAGAACAGATTTACTTTCAATCCAATTATCCAAAAAATTCACGAAATTCTAGAAAATGAAGCTGTAAATGGGTCCCAAATAGAAGTAATATGGGTCGCACAATGAAATCATTGGCAATGAGAAAGCCGATCCAGACTGAACTGCCACACCATTTCCCCGACCACCAAATTCAAGGCACTTATAAAAACTTCAAAAAGTTTGTAAAGGAGGACTGTCGCACTCAATACGTATGAAACAAATCCCCAAAACCAGTCACAAATTCTACACGCTTTAACAATTGTGGCAGTACTGACGACTTACGAAGCGATAATGTAGAAGAACATCTGCATCTACACGACAAAATCGCATTGTATAAATGAGATCTCTAATAATTCAAACCTAAAACTGGAAGGTAAGTATACGAAAATAATGTATGTAACTCGGCCGAAATTGAATTATTTTGGACTTCGGTAGTTTACTTACCTCCGTAGCACCTAGTAAAAACCTTAAAGTAAAGTAAAAATCAATCGTTTTTCGGCCTTGATACATAAACTACTATTCTAGGATTTTTATGTTTACAGTTATGATATTCACAGTCATATTTCGAAGGTAAGGGACCCATCTGCTGAATTAATCTCTAGAGCTCAGTGCAAAAGCGAACCAAGTGAAAGAGAGTTCAATTCCGGAAGCGAGAGTCTAAACGATCACGTTATTAAAATATTTGCCTAAAATTATTTAAAGCGTGTCAATAACTAGAAAATAGATTTCCTATAATTGAATATTGATTTTTCAATAGTTAAAAGAAAAAGTAAAATGAGAAAGAATTGAAGTTCGGAGAAAACCATATGTAAAAATTTCACAATTCTCCCGTCATCTTTGCATTATATTCTGCTACCTTTTGAGTTCACGTAAGTTTTTTGCATTTCCTTCTACTGCATTGAAGGCGCGTGTTTTAATTAGGGTTTTAACTAGTTTAAAAATTATTTGTTTAATAACTCAACTCGTATTTCTGATTCATTTGTCACGACATTCACAAACTGAAAATTAATGAACTTTGCGATTCATACGTTACTTAATTGATAATATTAATTCATTACGATTGGTCGACGCGAAGAGGTCGGACAATGAAATTAATCAATTAGGTATTAATTATTTTTTAATAATCGCTCTTCTCCACTACACACCACGCAATAATCTGTGAACGGTCTTATAGAGGAAACGGAGGTCTTGTGTGGTTGAAGCCAACTAGATTTAGATTTATTTAGTCAAAGAAACACTAAAAACTGTATGTGACGTGGGGGGAGAAGATCATCTGCGCACGTTTTCTTGAGTTCCAGAATCCCTTTACTGAATTTTAACTAAATAGTTGAAAAATGAGTAAAAGTTTAAAATAAATTAATAAAGATTTTGAAAAAAGCGCGAGATTAGCAATATTTGAAAAAACCTAAACATTTTCGTTCCCGAGTAATAGAAAACTTATTTGCATCGGTAAACGAATTTCAAGTATGATTTTTCTGCATTACTAACAAAATAGTAACTCGCCCTTACCTCTACTCCTACCATTACAAGCACAAGGAGAGTTCAACAAAACGCGCAGAGTGAAGCTACATTTACGTCTAGAAGCAAAACTAGGGGCCATCTGAGCATTTGCTCGATGAATCAGGGAAACTGGACGAAAACC